TGGTAGATGGGAAGATTGTACCACTTGTTAAACGACCACGTCGTGATTCAGCTGAAAAATGGGATGCTTTGTTATACAGGCATGGTCTTGAAGGATATTCTGAGGTGAGATTGTGATTCTCATTTCATATTTACATCTCTCGTCACTTTTGGTGGTGAGAACTTGTCTATGATTCTTTGCATTTCATTCATTTTACTTTCTTCAAAATTTATGATGTTAGGGAAGAATAAATGTGCTGGGTATGTTCTAGATCTTTCTGTTATTCTGTCCAAATGTTAGATTCTTCCTAGGATTCTAGGATGTTCAAGGTTTCTGATCCAACCTCTTGGAGAATTTGCTTTCAACACAAATTTGCACCTTTGGATTATTAAGTAGAAACCCGTTTATCGAGGCCCTTGATGGCCTGGTGGCTGGAAATTGAGAAGTAAGGTTCTTTCTCCTTCTAGTTGCTGGTGTTTGGGTCTTGGTAGTTGCAAGTCTCACTACTCTCCTGCAGAAGTAGGAACCCATTATTGCCTTGGTTTAGATCGGGTGTGAGAACTCCACCAGCACTCTAGCGATCCTGTTTTCTTGATAACCCTTTGCTGACAGATCCAACATGTTAGGTGTATGTATTGCCATTGCTTGTGGTTGATTAAAATCTCAAATTGAACAAAGTGCAAAGTACGAACAGATCACCTTCACCATGTTACCATCCTCAGCATACAAGATAAAATTCTCATCTCCTTGTAGTCTACATGGTCATGTTCTTTGAATACATCTCTGGCATTTGGCTTGGTGAGTTGTGCATAATTCCCCAGCTCAAGAAGCTCAGTGGAAAATCTCATTTCCTCAAAGTTTTAGGGTTATCCACCTGTAGTGATTAGTAATCTTTTACTTTAACCCTACAATTGAAACACATTGGCTGGTTATGATATTATTTCATTTGGTGTGGCAAAAATTTAACTTGGTCGCAATAATAAAAGAGCTTTCTGCACCTAGTGCTGAAGCTGTGTGGGCAGTCATGAAAAGTACTAATTGATACCTACCTATTTGTTTTCACAGCATAAGATCAAAGTTTTTGAATTCCCTAATGCAGAATTGTGCAAATCAATGATGGGGCTTCTGAAGTGAATTAAACCTATTTACCAGCCATTGATAATTTGATATCCATCTAACTCTCTGTGCTTAATTTTCCCAATTTAAGGTGGAAGCTATGCTGGATAAGACAATCTGTGCCATGTCCAGTGTGTTCATAGGAGCTTCTGGATCGACCTTCACAGAGGACATTCTACGGCTCAGAAAAGACTGGGGAAGTGCCTCTTTATGTGATGAGTACTTATGCAAAGGTGAAGAGCCAAACTTCATAGCAGGTAATGAATAAAGAAGATGCAGAAAATGGCTGTATGACTGAATGAGTGCCTTCTCTGTTCTCCATTTGTTCCTCCACTGCAGAAGTTGGATGGTATTCTGATGTATTGTAGTATATGACAATAGCATCTAATTGATTATTAGTGTATACAAAATCATTCTTAAACTCTGATTGCTTATGCGATTCATTCGGTTATTCATTAGGTTAACCCCTAAATTTCAAAGACTCGATCTTTTTTGAACTTTTCGTCTTTAGCTAGAGGTGTTTGTTCAGAAGCCCACTACAATTTTTTTTGGCAAAGAATAAGCAATCAAGCGTTTATTTCTCTCTTCTCAGTGTTTCCCCAAAAATCTTTACCCGGCCTTGACCACGTGAGTTTGGAATAAGGCATATCACTTGCTTTGTCTAAAAATAAGAGAATAGGATTTTCTAGACAACCTTTCTTCTTTCCAATGGTTGACTTCTAAAAAGATAATTGGAAAGCACATCTACGAAATAAATTGTGTCCCCAAACAATGTTGCAAAATGAAGAGTAGAGTTTTGCAAAATGGGTTATTAACTGCTTTGGACACCTCTAAGCACTTTACATCCACAAGTGTAAAAAAAAAAAAAAACTACAAATCCTAAAATAAACACGATATCCTAAAACAATTAAACTAATATAAAATAAATGATAGAGAATAACATGTCATAAAAATTAAATTCACAGACAACAGAATATGAAAAATCAGAGATAATGATTTCAACCACGCACTCCATAAAAATTAAATTAATTACCTGCTGATTTAAAATAAAAATAACTAAACTACTTGGTTGCTAAAACTAAAGGAAAAAACTACGGATTAATCAAAACCTAGAAACTTGTAAAATTAAACTTTGATGTGGAAATTGAAATTAAACAAATTGCATGTCTGACAGTTAAGCAAATACAAGGAAAAGAAGACAGAAAGCATTCAACCTATTTACATGAACAAATAACATAGATGAATTTATAAGATAAAGAAGAACTAACCAAATCAACAAGATAGACCTGTTGTTCTCAAGGCTAATATGCTTCCAAATGCTTAAAAACTAAGTTAACTTGAAATTTTTGAGGAAAAATATGAATAAGGATGGAAAAACCTAAACTGAAACTATGAACAAGAACAGATCTTGCAAGCTAATTTGGAAACTATGCTGAAATTTGGAAAAAGTAGTTTGAAAGTTGAAAAACATATGCTCTAGACAGTATGTGTAAGGCATGCCATCTGGCTCATTTTTCCTGCTGTTTTCCTTTTCTTCTGTGCTGGGAAGCCTCCTCCATGATTCTCGACCTTCTTCCCACCATGAATAGGTAGTGGAGACTCCAATCTGGGTAGTTTCTGTAGGGTAGTTTTTGTAGGGTAGTTGACAATTTTTTTTATTCACCCTTATCGTCAATAAAACCCTAATAATCCTTCTCCTAAAAACCTTTAACTTCATATTTTAAATCAAACTCAAACACCAGAACTCAACTTATCATCTGCCACCTAAAATCCAATCTCTTTGAAAATTCGTTTAGGCCATTGAACTCCAAACTAGCTCAACCCAATTCAACCTAATCCAATTTAATGACCTACCTTAAAGATTGGGTTTACCCTTAACACAGAGTTTTATCTCATTGATTTATTTTTAAGGAGTAAACACTTAGGGAAAATGTTTTTCCTTTTTTTTCTTCTTTTTCTTTTTTAACAGATAAGAGATGACCAAATTATCTAAGGTGCATTTTACTTGGCAATACATTTATTTCTAGATGATTTTTTTTATAGTATATATAAATGATAATTAATATTTTTTAATATGTTAATTCTTTTTTATATGTAATTTTTAGTTTCATTTTATATATAAAAAAAAGATTATCTTTACTATGAAAAGGACCACCTAAAAATAGTTGTAGTGACAAATAAAATAGATTAAAGGTAGTTTTTATTAACTTAAAATTTTTAATTTAGTGTTAAGATCATAAATTAAAGTCATAAATACCAAATAATTAATTCTTAATTTTTTTTAAAAAAGAAACACCTACTGACTACCCCTTGGCCTTTACATCTAAGTGAAATAAAAACTATTGTAACATGCAATAAGATTATATTGTGAATAAACATTTTTGACAAATTATTATTTTTTTTAAAAAAAGAGTGTTTTTTAGTGAATTATTTTT